GAAATATTTTATTCTGACAATAATCCTCTTACTAGTCCCAAAATAAAGAAGTTCACGTTCTAGAAACTGAAATATCACAGCCTGGCCTATAAAGAGTGAGTTCTTAAGTGTATAATCTGATTTAAATAACCTAATTTTGTTGGTCTATGAAAATTTGGACTGATTCATTCTTACGACTCTTCTAAATCAAAGACTATTCTTATTTTCAAGCATCTTAAAATTTTACTAATCGGTTTACGACCTACAACACTAAACACTGAAAACATCACCTGTCAATTCCATGTAGTCGACATAAAGTGCTAACAGTCATTTTTACAGAAACCAAAAGCTTAATAACTTTATTACCAAATATTTGCATGCCCCACGCCCCAAGTAGATACCATATGTAGTCAAGGAAGTTTTGTGAACTCCTAGGGAGTTGTGCTTTACTTATCAGTATAAATTAGTAAAGATAAAATAATAAAATCTAGCACCATTTTTAAAAAATTAATATTTTTATTGTTAAAGTAGTATGTAATATATAAGAAACATGGAAAACTAAAAGAAATAAATCACCTATAAGTTCAAATTCATTCACATATTTCTACCATATATATTTCTTCCCAGTTTTTTTTTTTTTCCACTTTTGTTTTCAAATAACTGCTACCATAGTATCTAGATATGAATCCTATTTTTCACTTACCATTATATCCGAGGAGCCCTGGTGGCATAGTGGTTAAGAGCTTGGCTGCTAACCAAAAGGTCTGTAGTCCAAATCCACCAGCCGCTCCTTAGAAACCCTGTGGGGCAGTTCTACTCTGTCTTATAGGGTTACTGTGAGTCGGAACTGACCCGACGGCAATGAGTGTGGTTTTAGTATATCTGAAGCATCTTTCTACTAAACATGGTATGCTAAAAGAAGATCTCCTCTTTTAACGAGAAAAGAATGGCCAGTCGTATGCCCGAGTGATGTTGATAATGACACTGGGAGATGAGGCCTACATTCAAGACACCCAGAAAACTGTCAAAATCCTAGAGTTTTCAAGAACTGCGGGATCTGGTCACAATCAAAACCAAGTTCACTACCTCCTCCCCTCCACCCTGGCCCCTTGCCCCTACTCTTTTAGTTCATGTCTAGTGAAGGGAGGTAAAGCTGGATAAAACCTAGGTTTTGAAGACTATCAAACCTGGTTTCAGTCTTGACTCTGCCATTACAAGCTCTGTGATCTTGGGCAAATAATTTAACCTCTCTGAGCCCCAACTCCCTCATTTATAAACTGAGTATATTACTATCTGTTTTGTGGTTATTGTGAAGATTAAATAATCTGCTATGTCTAAAATATCTCGTACAGTGCTTGAAATGGAAGAAGAGATTTTGTTTTTGTCAAAAACAAAACTGGGGAAACCACAAAAATCTTGAGTCACAGGTTTTCTAACTTTTCCGAGTAGTCCCTACTTTATCATTACAAACGACTAGCCAGCTAAGTCACTTTAAAGGTTATTCACAGCAGGAGAAAAGCACCATCTATTTGTCTAGAGGCACATTTTACGTGAGATGTACAAGAATACCTATCTGTAGTTATGATGAGCTAAGTGTGAAAAGCTCACTAAGGCCACGGATGTTGCTCCAGGAAGTCCCCCTGCTTGCTCGAGTACCACCAATTCCCCCCTCTCCTGGGCCCCTCCCAGTAGCACACTTAGAACAAACACAAAACCTTCTCTTCACCCCACTCTAGCCAGGACCACGTTTTTCGTTCACTTTACAGTGAAAGTCAAGCCTTGTCTACACATACGGCCTCCCGTCTCTCTCCTTCCATTCTCTTGAATCCACTCCACTCAGGCCTTGTCCTGCCATTTCACCAATGGTCGCCACACTGTAAGCACAACGAATAGTCAGCCCTCATCTCACGGGACTGCCCCAGCACAGGACACAGTTAATCACTCCTCCCAGAAACACTCTCTTCATGTGGCTTCCAAGACACCATCCATCCAGGTTTTCCCTCTGTCTTTGGGAGGGAGACCCCTTTACTCTTTTGTCCTCATTCCCCAACCTCTATACCTCAGGAGTGCCCCGGGGCGCCTGCCTCAGGCCTCTTCTCTTTTCTCTCTACACTCACTACCTTGGTGAGCCCATCTGGTCTCATGGCTTTAAATACTGGGTATTAATGAACCTCACATTTATAGCTTCACCTGGTACCTCTCCTTGGAATTCCAAACTTCTGTATCTAACCACTTAACTTGAATGTCCACTCTAACAGACATCTCAAACTCACAAGTCCACAGTGAGCCTCAACACCTGCTCCGTTCGCACTGGTCCCATCCATTTTCCAGTCGTCAGGCCAAAAGCCTTGGTGATATATGTGATTCTCCTTTTCTCTCACATCCTGCATTTAATCTATACCAAATCCTTGTTGACTCTACCTTCAGAATATATCCAGAACCTCTTCTCACCAACTCCACTGCTACTACTCATTCCAACCACCATCATTTCTCACCTGTCATAATACATGCACACATATATACATTCATACCTACACACACATATACTTTTGGATCTTCCCAATAATGTATAAACAATACATTAATAATTTAAATAATAATTTTAAATGCTTTAAATATTTTACAAAGATGTTTATATATACACATGTCAAACAGCATAGGAAGTTGATACAAATTAAATAATTTTATTAAATAAGTTGTTGTTGTTGTTAGGTGCTGTTGAGTCAGTTCCAACTCCTAGTGACCCTACAGGACAGAGTAGAACTGCCCCATAGGGTTTCGAAGGTGTGGCTGGTGGATTTGAACTACCGACCTTTTGGTTAGCAGCCAAGCTCTTAACCACTATGCCACTAGGGTAGCCAACGTCAATTTATATAGAGCTAAGGGTCACTATGAGTCAGAACTGACTTGACATTAAACAACATTACCTATGAATGAAAAAAAGAAACCCGTTGCTGTTGATTCCAGTTCATGGCGCCACCACTGTTACAGAGTAGAACTGCTCCATAGGGTTTTCTTGGCTGTAATCTTAATGGAAGCAGATCTCCAGGCCTTTCTTCCGCAGAGCTGCTGAGTGGGTTCAAACCACAAATCTTTAAGTTAATAGTCAAGTGCAAATTGTTTGCACCACCCAGGGACTTACCTATGAATTGCTGTTGTTGTTAGGTGCCGCTGAGTCGACTCCAAATCATAGTGACCCTGTGTACAATAAAATGAAACACTGCCCGGTCTTGTGCCATCCTCACAATTGTTGCCATATTTGAGTACTGTTGCAGCCACTATGTCAATCCATCTCATCGAGGGTCTTCCTCTTTTTCACTGACCCTCTACCATACCTTACCTCTCACCTATGCATTAGTCCTTACTTATATATATTTTAAGTTTCACTACCTTTACATATTTAAATTACTTATATGATTTACTAGTAATGCTTGTACCCATTCACCATACTTATTCAATCTGTATGCTGAGCAAATAATCCGAGAAGCTGTACTATATGAAGGAGAACAGGGCATCAAGAATGGAGGAAGACTCATTAACAATCTGCGATACACAGATGACATAATCTTGCTTGCTGCAAGTGATGAGGACTTGAAGCACTTGCTGATGAAGATCAAAGACCACAGCCTTCAGTATGGATTACACCTCAACACAAAGAAAACAAAAATCCTCACAACTGGACCAATAAGCAACATCATGATAAACAGAGAAAAGACTGAAGTTGTCAAGGGTTTCATTTTACTTGGATCCATAATCAACACCCACGGAAGGAGCAGTCAAGAAATCAAAAGATGCATTGCATTAGGCAAATGTGCTGCAAAAGACCTCCTTAAAGTGTTAAACCAATTTCTTTTATAAGGATCAGAAGAAAGCTGCTTCCTATGAGGCAGAGATTAAAGATGTCCCAACCTGCTGTACCACTCCATCATCTCTAATATGAACTACTGCCTCTCGCCTCAGTACTCTCCCTCCTGTCTTTGGGTTCCCTAACTCCCTGCAATGTCTCACAGAACTCACGAACCATATAAAGGAAATGGCTCACGTGGTTGTGGAGGCTGGCAAGTCCCAAATTCGTGGGTCAGGCATAGACTTCTCCTTGGCCCTCAGTCGCTGCCCAAAGGCACTCAGGTTTCTCTCTCCGTGGGCCAGGAAGCCCACTGCGCCATCTCCTGTGGGTCTCTCCTTCTTTGGTGGTGATGGGCTCTCCTCTTTGCTCCGGAACTGGCTCTTTTCTAAGGCAAAACTGACCAATCCCCTTGATAGGCCACAAGTACCCTATCACACAATCAGCTGGGTGGGAGTTACAAGACCGTGGCTAGAAAGGCCACACACAAAAGTAATTAATCCACTGCAAGTGTTAAAAAGCAAAGATGTCACCTTGAAAACTAAAGTGTGCCTGACCCAAGCCATGGTGTTCTCAATCGCCTCATACGGATGTGAAAGCTGGACAATGAGTAAGGAAGACCAAAGAAGAACCGACGCTTCTGAATTGTGCTGTTGGTGAAGAATATTGAATATACCACGGACTGCCAAAAGAAGGAACAAATCTGTCTTGGAAGAAGTACAACCAGAATGCTCCTTAGAAGCAAGGATGGTGAGTCTATGTCTCATATACTTTGGATACGTTATCAGGAGGGATCAGTTCCTGGAGAAGGACATCATGCTTGGTAAAGTAGAGGATCAGTGAAAAAGAGGAAGACCCTCAATGAGATCGACTGACAAAGTGGCTGCAACAATGGGCTCAAGCATAACAGCAATTGTGAGGATGGCACAGGACAGGGCAGCGTATCGTTCTGTTGTACATGGGGTCGCTATGAGTCGGAACTGACTTGACAGCACCTAACAACAACAACAACAAAGTAATGACAAGTTGCCTAGTTATTAGTAAAAAATTTCAAATTCACTGTCGTCATTTTCTAAGACAGTGCCCAACTGTATGCAAATTTGAAAATAAGGAAGATGTAGACTGCATAAAGTAGAATAAACATTCCAGATACATAACACGGACTGTTGTTACTCACACTGTGAACTCCTAAAGCTTTCCAGACGGCAAAGCTGATCACACCAACTCCACACCAAGCATAAAGCGAGCCCCAACCCAGGGCTCGCAAGGCTAGGGCAGACCCGCTCTCCGGTAAGGCAGCCGTGGCCATACTTCCCTGAGGTAAGACAGAAAGGTTAGGGTTAGAATAATCTGTCCAGAAAAAGTAAGTATTTTGAGAGCGTCTGAAACTACTCTTCGTGTGTTGTTGTGGTTAGGTGCCGTTGAGTTGGTTCCGACTCATAGCAACCCTATGCACAGCAGAACGAAACACTGCCCAGTCCCGTGCCATCCTCACAACCATTGTTATGCTTGAACCTACTGTTGCAGCCACTGTGTCAATCCATTTCAATGAGTCTTCCTCTTTTTTGCTGACCCTCTACCTTACCAAGCATGATGTCCTTCTTCAGGGACTGGTCCCTCCTGATAACATGTCCAAAGTAGATGAGATGAAGACTCTTTGTGTAAGCACCATGATAGTGGGATTCTGAAGTTCTCCTATTGTTTGAAATACCAGCTTTGCTACTTAGTAATTGCATGGCTTTAGTCAAGTCAGAATGGAGCCATGGTAGTGCAATGGCTAAGCACTCGGCTACTAACCAAAAGGTTGGCGGCTCCAACCCATGCAGAGCCTCCACAGGAGAAGGGAGCTGGCGATCTGCTTCGTAGGAAACCCTATGGGGCAACTCTACTCTGTCACATAGGGTAGCTATGAGTCAGAATCAACTCGGTGGCACCCAACAACAACAGTCAAGTCCCAACTTCTCTGACAAATCCCTGAGAATGCACGGTAGCATGACCAGAGCTGTGTCACGTACTGGGGGACAAAGGTAAGGAGACCAAGCGCTTTCTCCTAAAAGATTCCAGATTAACAGTTTGTTTTTTAAAAAAGCCAATCAAATTGGGAAAATATATATGTTGATAATAGGCACGGGGCTGAAGAACATTAACTTCTACAGAAAATATGCAAATAAAACTTTAACTGGGCAAATGACATGGACAACTCCAAAGGCATAACACATTTGGCTCCTAACTTAGAAAAAATGTTCATTCTCATTCACAATAGAAATGCAAATTAGTTTATATGAACTTCAAAGGTTTCTTTGTTTTTTAAATGAAGTCATCTCATGCTAGCTAATGTGAAATGATCCTCATGAAACCTAGCACTGTGTAGCACGAATCGGCTTACAGAATGTTCATGTTCCTCCACGTGGCAATTCTACTCCGAGGAACTTTTCCTGAGGAGCTAATCAGAAACGCAAATGAATGTTAATGCACAAAGAAGTTTCTAACACAAAAAATACTGGAACTAGTATATGTTAATAACAAATGGCTAAGAAAAGTATGACAAATCACTTCAGTGTAACCATTAAAAATATCTGAAGTCTTAACAATGTAAGAGGATAAATGGTGAAGATGAAATAATGTGCGAATGGTGTTAAATATGAAGTTTTAAAAAACTAGCCACAAACAACAAGGGGGAAGAATATGGCAAAAAGCTGACAGTGAGCTGAATAATGGAACTGTCAGCTTTTGTATTCATCTTTGTGCTTTTTCTTACTCACCAAATTTTCACAATGATTTGTTTTATAATCATCAAAAGTTATGATTACAACTTTTGAGAAAGTTAAATTCATTTTTTTCTATGCATTTTTGTTCTGTTGGTATTTAATGTTTTAGCAGATAAGCTGACGGGAAAATGGTAAATTCCTAATATTCCTTAACTTCTACAGGTTTTTATTTTTTTTTAAAGGATAAATTACATTTCGTGTTCAGGTCAAACTGTGGAGATGAAATGAATGTCTCATAATTGGTTATCTGGTAAGTTCAAAATTTCAAGCGGGCCCTTAAATGTTGTTACTTCTTCCCTTGCTTCCAGGAAGGTATGAACTATCCCAAGCAATGATTGTTTTTAATCTAATTTACACTATGGACTTGTTTCTATTTAAAAAGGTACTTCCATGGTTTACGGTGATGAAAAAATTGCACTGATTAAGGGTAGGGTTGCACAGCCAATTAATGTAATTGCTATCAATAAGCTGTCACCTGTAAAAAGTTGAACTGGCAAAAACTGTGTAATAGATATATTTATAACAACAGGAAAAAAAAAAAAGAGTGGCTGCTGAGGCTGCTTAGGTACAACCAAACACCTCATGGGATTTGGTTCCTTGGTTTGGAGGTTTGGGGTCATGGTTTCATGGGACACCCTAGTTAACTGGCCTAATAACATGTTTAGTGCTTCTGTTCTACCTCCTAGTTTGTTAAGTAGTGCCTAGGGTCTTAAAAATTTGAAAGCGGCCATCCAAGGCACAACAATTGGTCTCTACCCACCTGGAGCAACAGAGGAAGGAGAGTCAGGAATAGAAGGAAATGGAATGCATGTCTAACTGCCTCCATGAACAGCTGCCTCCTTTGCTATGAGACCAGAAGAACTGGATGGTGCCCAGCTACCATTATGAACATTTTAATCAAACATTCTAAAGCATTCTGATCAAAAGGGGGAAAATGCAGAACAGAATTTAAAATTCTCATGGAATCCAGATTTTCTGGAGTCATGGAAGGTGGGTGAACCCCTGAAACTATTGCCCTGAGATAATCTTTAAACCTTAAACCAAAAATATCCCCTGAAGTCTTCTTAAAACCAGACAATAGTTTGGCTTAACTAGTAAATAATGTTCTGCCTTAAGCATTGTGCTCTTTCAAGATCAATCTATATGGGATCAAACCGACAACAGCAATGTGAAAGATTAGACAGGAACCTTAGAGGGCAATGAGTTTATATTAATGGCGGAGAAATAACTCAGAAAAGGAGGGTGAGAATGGTTTCACAACTCAAAGAATGTAATCAGTGCCACTGAACTGCACATGTAGAAACTGTTGAATTGGCATGTGTTCTGCTGTGTATATGCTCAGCAACAAAAAAAAATTTAAAAAAGATACTTCTATCCATTTTTACTGTTACATTTACAATAAGACGTGATAAATTGCTGAATGACAAATTCCCCTCAGTCTTAAAACCAGACTGTTCAAGTGTTCCTTCTTTTACAAGCTGTGAGATCTTACAACTTGAGCAATTTTATCCATAAAACAGTAAAAATGGGCATGTTATAAGGAGGGACCAGTCCCTGGAGAAGGACATTATGCTTGGTAGAGGTTCGGCGAAAAAAAGGAAGACCCTCAACGAGATGGACTGACACAGTGGCTGCAACAATGGGCTCAAATATAGCAACAATTGTGAGGATGGCACAGAACCAGGCAGTGTTCTGTTCTGTTGTACAGGGTCGCTAGGAGTCGAAACTGACTTGATGGCACCTACCACCACCACCACCACCACCACCTTAATATGCCTTAAAGCTTGGGGAAGGGAGGATCACTGTTTATATTTTCTAGTTTCTCATTAGCAGCTGCCATCCGCTAAATGTCTACCATGTGCCAGGCATTCTGCAGATATATTTAAAGTTCTCACCATGACTTGTATCATACATCTTTTCTCAAATTTAGATTCAGCTCACTTCTTCCAAGGGAACCCTACTTGAAGCTTCCCCTTACTCTAAGAAATCAGGTGTTTTTCTTCTGTGCCCATAATGCCTTGTGTGTATCATTATACTTTTTACTTAGCTCATAATTTTCGTATGTTTGCAGGGTATTTTAGTGAGTTTTGACAAATTTATACAAGTGTAACCACCACCACAATCAAAATACACATTTCTGCCAAAAGTTCCTTGTGCCCCTTTTCCATCAAGCCCTGCCCTCTCTCTCTGGCCCCAAGCAACTACCGTTCTATTTTGTCACTATGTATAAGACGTTTCCCCTGGAATTTTATATAAACGGAACCATACAGAGTACTCTTGTGTGCATTCTTTGTGCCTAGCTTCCCCTCAGCACGACCTCTGAGTCCTTCATGTTGTTTTGGGCCATTGAGTGATGTGCTGAAGCCAGCTTGTGCAGGCTGCACATCTCTTCCCAATCCAGTGTTCACTGACACTGTGCTGACAGCTTGGAATTGGCCACGTGGGCATATTTACACCATAGAAACTGGCAAATGCTATGAATCAGAGCTTTATTTCTCTTGGAGAGCTGGTTGTTAGACATTTACCAGCACACCATTAGTCACCTCTTTTTCTCTTTTTTCAATTAATAATTTATTGAGGTGAAATCCACATTAACATAAAATTAACCATTTTAAAGTGAACAACTCCATGGCATTTACTCCATTCACAATGCTGTGCAACCACCACCTCTAGTTCCAAAATATCCCCATTACTCCAAAGTAAAACCTATTATCCGTTACAGTTTCTCCTTGTTTTCCCACCCCCAGTTCCTGGCAACCACCAATCTTCATTCTGTCTCTATGGGTTTATCTATTCTGGTTATTTCATATAAATGGAATCATACAATATGTGACTTTTTGTGTCTAGCTTCTTTCACTTAACAAAATGCCTTGGAGGTTCACCCACAACGTAGCATGTACCTACTTCATTTTTATGGCTGAATATTATTCCACTGTACGTATGTACAGTAAAACCTGTGAAAGCCGGAACCAGTGTAAGGCAGAAACTTGTCAGAGAAGGAAAACTCAGAAATATTTTCCACTGAAAGGAATGATAGGAAAGTGGTAAGACTGCACCCTGTCCAAGGCAGAAAACTTTTGAGACCTGGAAAACCAAGGCAGTCCTGTCGAGTTCCTGCTGTCATAGGTTCCACTGTACCACAATTTGTTCATCCATTCATCTGCTGATGGACATTTGGGCTGCTGTAAGCAGTGCTCCACAGACGTGTGCACATGTACTGATTGAATATCTGTTTTCAGTTTTTTTGGGTATATACCTAGGAGTGGAACTGTGGGGTAATATGGTAATTTTATGTTTAACTTTTTGAGGAACTTTTAATTTCTTTTATGATTTTTTTTGGGGGGGGGGTCAAAGATGCCATCTAACGCTTTTAAGCTTACTAAAACTTTCCCCATCCGAAAGTGATAGTCATTTCCATTTTCTTCTAGCTTTATTTGTTGTTTTAAATTGTCCCTTCTTCTTCCCCTAACTCTTTAAGTCATCTGGAATTTATTTTGGTTTTGATGGGAGCTGATGATAAAGGTAATTTATCTTCCAAATAGCTTAGCATTTGCCCCAGCCCACTTCAATTAATCCTTCTCTTCCCAATTTATTTGAGAAACTTACATACAGAAAGGTTTGTCTCTGGGCTACTTTTGTACTACCCATTTATTATCTATTTTTATGCTAGAATCACACAGATAAAGAGTCATAAAAAGTCTTAATATCCAGAAGGCACATCTCTCATTATTCTTTTTTAAAAAAATTTATTTGCTGTTTTGGCCACTAATTCTTCCAGGAAAAAAAAACAAGAAAATTCTGTCAAAATTTCCCCCAACTTCCATTCACTGGCATTTTCATTATAATGACATTAAATTAATTAGCTAATCTGATTACCAAAAAAAACCCAAAACCTGTTGGCCTTGAGTCGATTCCGACTCACTGTGACCCTACAGGACAGAGCAGAACAGCCCCATAGAGTTTCCAAGAGCAGCCGGTGGATTCAAACTGCCGACCTTCTGGTTAGCAACCAAGCTCTTAACCACTGTTGCCACCAGGGCTCTGCAGCTAATCTGATAAGAGAAAACAAATTTATAACATACATCTGGAACTATATTTCTACTTACTCAAGTCTTTTTCTCTTTTAGAATAATTTTCTGTATATTGCTGAGTCCATTTCTTCAATGTGTGATTGTGATTGTGGATATAGACTGATAGCACATAGAACGTCATCATTGCCTTCCGTATCCCCATGCCTAGCACCATGACTGGGCCTAGTAGAGACTCAGTATTTGCTAGCTTATGTTTTTAGTAGATATAACCAGTCAGATTTTTAAGAGATTTTTCTTTTCTATGATTAAAAACAATATACTCTCTTATCCTATTCCTTTTCCAGGGCTATGAACCAGTTTGTTCAGTTCCAACCCGATGAGAATCTGTGTTTCACCCCAAATACACTGAAACAGAATCTACGCTTTAACAAGATCCCCAGGTGATTCTTATGTACAATAAATGTTGAGAACCACTGCTCTACTAGTTGTTCTCAGAACTGGTCTCAACCAGCAGTAGTAGCACTGTCTGGGAAGTTATGAGAAATGCAAATTCTCAGCAGGGGTTCGAACCAGAATGAAACTGTTCGAAGTCGTGTCCTTTTCCCATGTTGCTATAATTTCAGAGTGGTTCCCTAGATACCACAGATCTCACATAAATACACTAACTTATTTAATTAGCCTGAATTTTCATCCAGAAATAGTATAGCATTAAACCAGGACCAGCTGAAATGCTCTGGCCTATATTTTATTTTAGAATCATAGGTTAAAAACCCATTATTCCCTGGGAAGAACAAAAATTAGCCTATATAAATATGTATAATTTACATAAAACCATGCTTGTTTTACTAAATCAAGTAAAAAAAGATAACTATGCATAAAAATAATGTTTAATGACATAGCAGTGAGATTAAAATCTGATTTTTGCCTAACTTTTAGATTTAAAGAAAAACTGGCACATTTCATATTTGTACAACATCAGACTCATGAAAACATAATGAGATTAAATAAGTCATTATTATTTTCTACATACTTCCAAAAATAAATTTTAGTGGAAACTTGATGTTGAAAATGGATAGTCACAAGCTTTTTTCTCTGGGACAGAATTCTGCAGTTGACCAAAAAATAAAAATCGTATGACATTCATATATCCTGCTCAATTTTTTCAAAATGAACGCTGGCTGACTTGCTGCAGGAAAAGACTGACTTGCCAAAAATTAATACGAGGTAAAAGATCTTTAGATACAGGCACACATACTAGTGAGATATGCATGATGAAAGGTACATTTTTCCTCACTGCCGTATTATTTTTCTAATTAAAATTAAGGCATATGAAAGTTGAGCTTAACAAATCATGCCTGCAGTTATGGTACTTAGCATCCCCAAAATAAAACAAAAAAATTATTTTCTAAATGAAAACTCTGTATTTATAATAGCTTTTGTGTCTGAAGGTGTGGGCACCCCCATCTTCAAACATGTACCCTTTGAGAAAGCAGGTGACAAGACTTAATTTATTGTTCAGCTACAGATACTAACAAGAGCAAACTGGGCAAAGCCTGTCAGAAAGTCAACTGCATTACCTAATAAGGTTCATGTTTTTAGCTTTTATTCAGTTTAATTTTGGGATGAACTGGATATAAATCAAACAGTTTTAAGATTTAGTTTGACAATTTCTTAGAAGCTGTAGCTGTAACAGAAAGATGGCTGATGACTTGCCCTTTTTATTTACTCATTACATAAATGGGTCTTGAACTAACTCATAGATGACTTGCCCTTTTTATTTACTCATTACATAAATGGGTCTTGAACTAACTCATAGCTATTTGAAGGATTCTTGCAATTCTACCGTATTAAGTAGGAGCACCAAATTATTTTAGATATGAAGCTATATATGTGCATATATATTATTTTCTTCAATAATTTTAACTGAATAGACATATAGTACACATATTTTTTACTCACAGCACCTTATTTAATCTCACAATCATTTTATGAGACTGATGTTATACAAATACGAAATGTACCAGTTTAAAAAAAAAATCTCAAACTATTTGACTAGATCACCCAAAGAAATTCAAGAGTGGATTATTTGGTGACAATAGCTTGTACCGTCCTCTTTGTTTATTCAAAGAATGGCAAAGAAAAATGAATATTTATTCAGCACCTTACTATTGCTTTTCAACTCCCAGTTTTCTAGCATGAGACTCAGCCGAGACAATGAAAATACGACATCATTGCAATGATTATCAATCTCCTGAAATAATAACAGTGCAGACAGTCCCCAACCGAAAAGCTGGTCATTTTAAAGCCCTTTTGGGTTGCAATTTGAGTCTGTATTATAATTAACAGCTAGGCTCCCACACTAGTGGACGAAAGTCTACTTAAATAAAAGTCTTGCTAAAAATAATATAATTTATTCCTCAGAAGTAACCAAAGATGGACAGTGCCACGTTGAGCAAGTCACTTTATCCATTCATGCCTCAGTTTCCTGATCTGTAAGTGGGGACGATACAAAACAAACAAACAAACAAACCAAACCCAATGCTCTCAAGTGGATTCCGACTCACAGCGACCTTACAGGACAGAGAACTGCCCCAGAGAGTTTCCAAGGAGTGGCGGGTGGGTGGATTCAAGCTGTGGGCCCTTTGGTTAGCAGCCAAGCTCTTACCACTTCACCACCAGGACTCCACGTTAATAACAGTAACATTATTATCTAACATTTGAGTGCTTGCTAGGTGATATTCTACAGGCTTTACTCTAATCTCCATCACAGGCCTACAAAGTAGTAGTGGTGGTGGCACAGTTGTTAAGAGCTCGGCTGCTAACCAAAAGGTTGGCAGTTCAAATCCACCAGCCACTCTTTGGAAACCCTATGGGCAGTTCCACTCTGTCCTATGGGGTCACGATGAGTAGGAATCGACTGGACGGCACACAACCACCACATTATTAACGTTGGGTAACGTGTACACTTGCATCCACAAGGTATACAAAGGTTTACTTCATAAAGCAATATAAAAAGCCATCAACATTTCCTTTATTTTTCTTATGCTAAACAGCAACCATTTCCTGTAAACCATAAAAGTATTATGAATGGATTTCAGCGTCACGAACCTTATTGAACCATTCAGGGCTTTTCTTTTTAGCCAGTGATAATGTTGTAACAAATCCAGCTAGCATTCCCGCAGCAGCAACAGTACCAAGGAAAATTCCACCTGCCGAGAGTTTGGGGGACGGAAGAATATACATGGGGGGAGGGGAAGCGAAAAAAAAAAAAAAGCCTGAAATTAAAAAGATGCACACGAGTAAGTTTCAGAGACTATTTAAGTTACATTCAAAATCATTTCCTGAATTCGAGAAACGATGGCTAAGCAGCTCTTGTCGAAGGGAAATGATAGAGACTGAGAAAGCTGCGTGACCTCATGATCTCTGGTTCCCGGGGTCATTCTGAGGTACGTTCCCAAGGGCAGGGAATGGCCGCAGGGTCCATTCCCCTCTTCCCAGGGACAACGACGTGAGGTTTCTCCCGGGAAAAGATAAAGAAGCAGTGGGGTTTGGAAATAAGAGGACGGCACGAGGAAAACTGCAGAGACGGGGAAATGAGGCACCGACAGGAACACAGCTTGCTGGACCTGCCCTCGCCCTTGGGGAGCCTCCACCTGTGCCGGGGGGTGTATGGAACTGCCCGCTGCAGCGCAGACCAGGCCCCGGTGAGCTCGCTCTGTCACCTGCACCCCATCACACCTTTAACCAGGAAAAGCCGGTCGTCTGAGGGTTTGGGAGCCTCCTGCCGGGAGACCGGCACCCCTGTCCCAGCACCCGCGGCCTCCATGCTTAAATCTCGACTACTGCGTCCGGCGCCAAGTGGGCCCGGATGGGTGCGCGTGCGAGGCGAAGAGAAAGGTTCCGCTTCCCCCTTTCTTCCCCTGTGCAACCTAAGTACGGGTCCGGGGAGCGGCCGCTGCCGCGGATCTCAAGTGTTCCCCACCTGTCCCACCGCCGCCGGGCGGGAAGGACGCCGGGCCGCACACCGTGTCCCCAGCCCAGCGCAGGTAGCGGGGTCCTCCAAGACCGGCCAGCGGAAGGATTATTTGCCTGCTCCAAGGTGATGATCCTGGACTTAAAGTTTGTTTGAAACACTGCGCAGCCCTGACTCTAGGAGGTAGGTTGCTCCAGAGTCCCGGGCCCAGGCCGGTTTGAGACCCTGGAGCTCAGGTTCCTGATCAGCTTTACGCTATGTCCAAACACCTGGCCAGCGCTCACATTCCGAGATTCTAAACAGCAGGCCCCAGTCTTTCCTCTGTACTCTTCTGGGAAATGCGTGCCAGTCGTCACTTCAGGCATTAAGTGACAGATTTTATTCCTGAAGCGAGCCAGCCCACCAGCCCTGTGGGGATGCGCCTGTTTCCCGCAGTTTCATTGGGCGGCCTACTAAGGGGGTGTGGATGGCCAAGAAGATGAACTGAAGTGGCTTGTTCAACCTCCAGGGAAGAGCAGAGGACCACCCCAAGGGTTTGCTAACGCTGAACTTCCAGGTTGCCCCAGAGCTGGTCCTGCTGGGAAACTCGGTCGCCCGCGGGTCTGATTTTCCAGGGTCTATGAGGCTGATTTGCAAACGGTGATGGGTTCTGTGAATGGTCATTGGGAGGGAGAGGCTGGTCGTCATCCGAAATCTTTTCAGCATCGCAAACACAGACACACAACACCATCTTTTAAAATGAGGCAATCCATCTACCATTTGTTCTTTCTGATAACTTTTGGCCAGGAGCTCGAGGCCAGGCGCTCTTGAGGATGGGGAGGGGGATCTTTTTTCACGTTCATGTTTCCGGCGCTCAGCTTACTACCGGCGTCATGCACAATAAATGCGTGTTGGACGAATGAATAACTGAACGCATGGGTTAAATGCAGTGAATAGCTCAAACCTGGGTTCAGGGTCTAAACCACTTCTCAGCTGTGTGAACTTGGTTGAGTTATTTAACCCCTCAGTACCTCAGTGAAAGGAGCCCTGGTGGTGCAGTGGATAAGTGCTCGGCTGCCAGCTGAAAGGCCAGAGGTTGGAACCCACCCAGCGGCTCCGCAGGAGAAAAGACCTGGCGATCTGCTCTCATGAAGATTACAGTCTAGGAAACCCTATGGGGCCGTTCTACTCTGTCACATGGGGTCCCTATGAGTCGAAATCCAGTGGACAGCACCAAACAACAACATACCTCGGGTATGCCGTCCCTGAATGGTGAAAACTGAAGCAGCACTCTGCTACTGATCGAAAGGGTAGTGTTTGAATCCACCCAGATGCATGTTGGAAGAAAGACCTGGCAATCTACTTCCAAAGATCACAGCCATTGAAGACCCTATGGCGCACAGTTCTACTCTGAAAGTCATGAGGTCACCATGAGGTGGAATTAACTGATGGCAACTGGTAAATACCTCAGTTTCCTCATCTGTAAAATAAACTGATCATTTGGTTCCTACTTCATAGGGTTGTTGTGAGAATTAAATGAAGCAATGTATATAAAGAAGTCAGCACAGTGCTGGGAAACAAATAAATACTCAATGGTTAGATCTAATTATTGTCACCCTTGATTCCAGTGTCTGAGATTTAAAAATTTCTGGCTGCCCAGAGTCTACCCCTGGAGACCATGACATTGAAGGTTCAGGGCAGGGCCTGGACAGCAGTAAGTTTGAAATCTCCATGGGTGATTCTCAAGGCTAGCCAGAGTTGAGAACCACTGCTCTCTAAGTTTCTGTGTGACTGAAATTACACAGAATTTATTTGAACTTTGAGTTCCTTGGAGGTGCAATGCCAGTTCTGGAAGGGCTTTTTTTTTTTTTAACGAGCATGCTGTGCTAACTTACTGAGGGTCTTAGGACTTACCCTTTTTCCTTTCCTTCATACATAATGGTGACAATTAAAAACAAAAATGACAACCGGTTGCCTCTGAGTTGATTCTGACTCGTGGCAACCACATTTGTTGCAGAGTAGAACTACTAAATAGGGTTTCAAGGCTTTTTGGAAGCCTTGGAAGCCGATCGCCAGGCCTTTCTCCTGAGGTGCCTCTCGGTGGGTTCAAACTGCCAACTTTTCAGTTAGTAGTCGAGCATTTAACCGTTTGTGCCACCCAGGGACTCCTAATGATGAGAATAAAAAAAACCAAACCCGTTGCCGTCGATTCTGACTCACAGCAACCCTATAAGGCAGGGTAGAACTGCCTGCCGCATAGGGTTCCCAAAGAGCCCCTGGCAGATTCGAACTACCAACCCTTTAGGTTGGCAGCTACAGCACTTACCCACTATGCCACCAGGGTTTCCAATGATAGTAATAGCAGCTAATGTTTATTGAGTGCCGCCTATGTGTCTGGAAACCCTGGTGGCTACTGCTTAATTGCTATGGCTGCTAACTAAAAGGTCGGCAGTTCAAATTTGCCAGGTGCTCCTTGGAAATTCTATGGGGCAGTTCTACTCTGTCCTATAGGGTCGCTATGAGTCGGAATCCACTTGATGGCAATGAGTTTGGGGTTTTTTTTTTTTTTGTTATCTATGTATCTGGTACCAGGCTAAGGGATTTACGTACATTATCTCACTTAATCCTCTCCATAGACTCAGAGAGGCTAATCAACTTGTTCAAGCTCAAACCAAAAAAAAAAAAAAAAACCCATTTCATCGAGTCAATTCCAACTCATAACGACCTATAGGACAGAGTAGAACTGCCCCATAGGGTTTCCAAGGAGCAGCTGGTGGATTCCAACTGCCGACACAGCTCACTCAGCTGTTAAGTGGCAGAGCCAGGATTTAAAACAGGCCTGTTCAAGTCCTTATCCCTATGCCACTGGTTCTCAAGCTTGAGCTTGTATTTGAATCAGCTTGAGAGATTGTTAAACACAGATTGCTAGGCCCCATCCCAGACTTTCTGATCAGTAGGGCTAGGGTGGGGCCCGGGAATTTGCATGTCATACAAGTCCCCAGGGAGCAAACAGTTAAGCTCTGGGCTGCTAACTGAAAGGTGGGTGGTTTGAACCCACCAGCAGCTCTGTCAGAGAAAGACCTGGCAGTCTGCTTCCATAAAGATTACAGCCAAGAAAACCCTACAGGGCAGTTTTACTCTGTCACATGGGATCACCATGAGTCAGAATCAGGTTGGCACTCAACAGCAACAAGTTCCCAGGTGATGCTGATATTGTTGATTCCCACTTTGGGAATACTTTTCTGTACCTCACTCTTCACGGGTACACGTCTTGAGACCCACACCAGCCACTGTAACACTTGCAATTCTGTTCTCCCAAGACTGCCTAGAGAGAGAAAAATACAGCCTCCTCAGGCCTCCCCTTTCTTACTGTCCTTCCCAAAAAGCACAGGAACTTTTTATTTCAAGGATCGTATTACTATTTTTTTTTTTTTTTAATATTTTATTGTACTTCAGGTGAAGGCTTACAGAACAGATAGTTTCTCATGTAACAGTAACACACATGCTGTTTTATGACATTGGTTAACAACCCCACAACATTTTAACCCTCTAAATACTCAACTTTTTTTTTTTTGGTGAAAATACACATAGCCAAAGATACGCCATTTCAAAAATTTTTTTTTACATACACATTTAAGTGACATTGACTACGCTCTTCTAATTATGCTGTTGTTCTCACTTAAGATGAAGGCTTACAGGACAAAATAGTCTCCCATTTGACAGTTACTACAAATGTTGCCTTATGACAATGGTTAACAATCTCACAACACATCAACAATATCCTTACTCTATTTTGTGTTCCCTATCATCAGCTTCCTACTCCCCTTCTACCTTCTGGGCCTTGTCACTGGACTCCTGTACCTCGTTACTCTCATGGTTTTACTGGGGATCGTATTACTATTTACTGTAAGCCGGGCTTTGAACCGATTCGAACAGGTTCAGTTACGGCCAATGAAGCGAAATTGGAAGAGACCCAAATTTAAAAATTTAGGTGAAGCAGAATGATAGCTGAAAGAGGAAAAGTTATGGAAAGGGAGACTCAGAGGAGGCATAGTGAGCCCTCCCAGGAGTCTGATGCGGGAGATTAGATTATGGGCAGGCCTCTAGAGAGCAACACACATTCAAAGCAGTGCAGTAGGCCACCATCTTTGAGAAGGGCACTGCTGTTTCGTACTCTGCCGGTCAAGAAATTTGATTGCTCTGCAATGTGCACGCTGCCCTTGTTTTCTAAGAAGGAGACGGAGTTTCTAGCAGGGCTTTCACCCATAATTTTTCCTGTTCCAGTTATTTTTCCAGTTCAACCACATTTTAAAAATTCGGGTCTGTTCAGGTTTTGCTTCATTCGCCGTGACTGAACTGGGCAGAATCGGTTTGAGGCCTGGACTCTAAGGAACAGAGGGGAGATAATAAATCTTTAAATCTAGGAAAATTTTTATTGTTGTTGTTGTTAGGTGCCATCCAGTCAGTTCCAATTCACAGTAACCCTGCATACAACAGAATGAAACACTCCCTTGTCCTGTGCCATCCTCAAAATCATTGCTATGTTTGAGCCTGTTGTTGTAGCCACTGTGACAATCCATCTTGCCACAGCTCTTCCTCTTTTTTGCTGACCCTCTACCTTACCAAGCATGATGTCCTTCTCCAGGAACTGGTCCCTCCTGATAACATCCAAAGTACGACACAAGGTCTCACCATCCTTGCTTCTAAGGAGCATTCTGGCTGTACTTCTTCCAAGATAGATCTGTTAATTCTTCCGGAAATCCATGATATATTCAATATTCTTCACCAACACCATAATTCAAAGACATCAATTCTTCTTCAGTCTTCCTTATTTATTGTCCAGCTTTCCCTATGAGGTGATTGAAAACACCACGGCTTGGGTCAAGTGCAACTTAGTCC